CTTGTGATCCTGGAGTGATACTTCAGAATTGAATAATAAGCTAAGTCTTTCTCTAAAACAACAGATGAGTCTCTCTCATTTGTGCTATCAATTGCTTCCTCCTACTCCGAGGAAAATTGTTTTGTTGTTGTTTTGAACTAGGTAGTTCATTCTACAGACAAGGCAGTGGAATTTCCATTTGTGCACTGAGAATCAGTTCTGAAAGGTTGGGTTTTTTTCAAAAATTAACTTTGTTTTCTGGTTATTTTTAATTGAATATGAAACATGTCAGTATTTCAGATTTTAAATACAGTTGTTACTACATTAAAGGGCATATCATTATTATCTGTCTCTGGTAATGTGCATTTGCTCCTGCTATTAGACCCCCACAAAGGGCCTGGCCTTACCTTCCTGATTTGAATCTCTAATAATTCCACTTAATTCTGTGTGTTAAACCCATGGGAGAAAGAGAAAGTAGAATCTGACCAAAAGGTCTTTGCTAATAATATCAAAGAAACTAAAAAAGAATCAGGTTTTTAAATCTGAGTAAACATACTGTGGAGGGAATGGACTTTTAAGAAAAAGACAACCGGCTTTGATATCTAGCTCAAATAAGTGAAAAACAAAATAAAAACTTTGAAGGTGTTTTAAGCGGTCACAGAGTGCTCTGGCTCTATCAGGAGACACCAGCTGAGTAGGGTCATGGTCCCAGTGGGAAAGCCTTCAGAACTTACATGTGTGCTTTAAGAAACACAGCCGGTGACTCAGTAAATGATTACCTAATAGGAACCAGCTCAGCGAAGTGGGATGCGAGTGTCAGGTGGAAAACCTCTGTCTCCCCAGTGATGCATAAAGTCAAGGTTCTGTGTATTCACAGTGATGATGTACTCCTTGCAAAATCAGGTGTTAGATTTTGGGCACACTGTCACTCAATGAGTTAGAGTATATTAAAGTATTATTTGCAATTTAACTGCATCAAGTCAGCTACTGAACTAAGTAGGATCACCAAATTTGTGAAATGAAAATTTTGGGACAACTGTACTGTCGTGGTTTAACCCCAGCCAGCAACTACGCACCACACAGCCACTTGCTCACTCCCCCCCGGTGGGGTGGGGGAGAGAATCAGACGAGTAAAAGTGAGAAAACTCATGGGTTGAGATAAAGACAGTTTAATAGGGAAAGCAAAAGCCATGCGCACAAGCAAAGCAAAGCAAGGAACTCAATCCCCAGCATATACTGAGCATGACGTCATATGGTATGGAATATTCCTTTGGTCAGTTGGGGTCAGCTGTCCTGGCTGTGTGCCCTCCCAGCTTCTTGTGCACCTGGCAGAGCATGGGAAGCCAAAAAGTCCTTGACTACTTAGCAACAACCAAAACATTAGTGTGCCATCAACACCACTCTCCTCATACTAAATCCAAAACACAACACTATACTTCTGGGTCCAAATGTATCTTCTGTATTCCCAGTGTAAAATAGCAAGGCAGAGGAACATAGATTCACTTACTAATTTTTTTTTTTCATGGACACCCAAAAGAGAAAGGAGAAGCCCAAGATCTACCTTTTGCTACAATCGAAATAACTCAATGATGTGGGACATCCACCCGGTTTAAACAAATGAGCCTTTAACGCTTGATTTCTCCTAAGCGATTATCTCCTACTATTCTCATCCTTCACAATTGTTTTTCTGTAGTCTTCCACTGTCAGTGAGTGGGTGTTGGGGCTTTCTAAGTTTTTGGCTAGATGTCAAGTAATTCAAAAGTGTAGAAGGCTCAGTGCTTGTTGACATTTTACTTCAGCAGTGGCTTTAAGAAAAATTAATATTTTCTCAGTAGGCAAACACATGGTTGATGTGATATGGCATAAAAGCATGACAAAATCGAACTGAATAGGGGAAACAATAGCAAACAGCTGGACAGGAAAATAAAACCAAGATAAGAAGAGATGAAAGTCATCTTTTCTGTTTGTTTGCCTTCATAAATTTATGCCAGGATAAAATACACTGAATTCTCTATCTTGTTTTTGATTTTTCCAAGGTAGCGTTGAAATAAAGGGCCTTGAATTGGCTATTTGTCATCTGTTTGTCTGCAAGTTCCTCCAACAATAGTCTCGATTAAAGCCTTTTCTTTGAGAATTGTTAGTTTTCTTTTCCATAACTGGAAACCTAAACCACCTACAGAGATAAGTAGGTAGTGTGACATACCTTATTTTGCTGTACCAGGTTGCTCTGAACCCCTGGGGATGAAATCAGGACATATACAGGACTACCAAATTACTGCCTCCAGTGTTTTCCGAACACTCAACATGGACATGTTCGCTTGGGAGCCCAGGAAAGCCCGGCTGGACAAACAAGGCAAAGTTAATGCCTGGACCTCTGGCCACAATGACCAGTCACAGTGGTTGCAGGTAAGGTTTCACATACATTTTCCCAAATGTTTATCTTCTTTATGTTTTGGGTAAGGGGAAGGTTGACTGGTTTAGGATTATGCTCATATTCTTCAGCTTCTGAGTGTAACCATCCTAACTCTGCCACCTGTAGATGATGAAGCTATGAAAGCCCCCATATATCTTCATGTCTTTGGTACCTCCGTGGCAGAAAACCCTGCTCAGGGAAAACTTCACCTCTGCTAGCCAAACCCTATGAGTCGCCCAGTAGCCATGACTTTTCCTTTGTTGATGGACACAAATAGTAGTTGCAGATCTATTTCACTGGCTTCTCCTCTTTTGTTGGGAGAGACGATTTTTTTTTCCCCTTTCTGTCCTTCCAAAGCTCCCTGGAAAAGCATATTTGCTTCATCTTTGTGCATGTTAGAAAATCTGGCCCAGAGAAATTACCTTTGTCTAATTGAGACTGCTGAAAATTACCTTCTGACATTGCTCTGAAGCTAGCAAGACTGAATCAGCACTGGAATTCATTATGAAGCTGTGCACAGGGGTTGTTTTCAGCCTTGGAGTGATTTATACAAATTAGTAGCACGCTAATGTGAAAGATTGCAATAAATCACCGGTATGGAAGCCTATTTGACCAGTCGCTGACACATTTACATTTTTTGAACTGTTGAAAATAGCAGTGTTTTGAGTCAGCTGCCAGTTTGCAGTGCAGTTCTCAGTGGGAAGCCTCAATAGCACTAGATGTGGCTACTAACCCCCTGCAATCTTTTCACATATAAATTATGACATATTAGCTTTTTTACCTACAGTTGCTAAGCAATTTAGCAATACAATTACTATCTTTTCTCCAAGTTTACACACTTAATGAAAGGAAGGAGCAGTTGTCTTGTCTATTTAACTTTTGAATAACTGAAGATCCTGGGATTTGCTGAAAGTTTTTTAGAGCAGCTTGTTGAAACAGCAGTTAGTAACTTCTGGAGAGGAGGAAGATTTTATTTCTGTGTTTTATGGTGGAGAAGCAGATGAAAATATTTCTCCACATAAAAGAAAGGCAGTTGTATCATATTTAGTGATCATCAGTGATACCAAGAAACCAAGGGTGTGCAGAGACTCCACAGAAAAATCCTGTGGTGTGTTATTCCTCCTGTGGGTGACAGTGGATTTTTAATTAAATATAGATGACAAGGGGCTGCAAAGTTAATTCTTATATTCTAAAATTTTCCATTCTGTTCTAAGTCTTGCCATACTTGAACCTACCTGAACCTGCAAATTGAATCTGACCACTTGCACAGCCTCTGCAAGTCCTTGAAGTATCAGGCATACTTTTTTTTATCTGGTCAAAAGAAAGTTGTGAAGAAATACTCTTCCTTTATTTCATTTGTCATATGGCTATGATACAAGTTCAGTAACTTCACAAGAATATGACCAATTTACTCTTTCCTGAAAGTCATTAAACTTACGATATTTTTCCAAAATACTATGATAACATTTCTTGTTTGAAAAAAACACGTGGTGTTAAAACCACTTGTTTTTTCAGTGCTTAAACTAATCATTAACTTCTACTGCAGGATGATTGTTTTGAATTCAGTCCAAAAGTAGAGATGGGCTCACATGCTTCAAGTCTAGGTAGGAATTCTGTAAGAAAGACATGCCTTTCATGTAAATTCATCCATTCATTGTTGTTCTCTTTGCTATTTTTTTTTCTTTAAAACGCAGAGTATTGTATTGTAACCTTTTAACACACTTACTGCAATTTTATCATCATGCTGCTTTCATAGAGTTTAGTCAAAACACATTTGTAAGAAAAAGCATGTGAAGGCAAACTTATTTGTATGCCCTTTTCCCTCAGCAGTTACATATTACAAGGAATGATGCCAATAGCAATTCCATGGTATCCTAAAACAGGCTTAGAGTAAGACATAGATTTCTGGATTTTGCTAAAGTAGCTGGCCTACCAGTATGATGCTTCACAGTGTTAGCTTTCCATGTCTTTTCAATTTTCTCCATGTGCCTTATTTGATTTTTCTTTTATAATTTTCACTAGAAAGTCTATAAAATTGGGTAAAAGCCTACTGAATGCCTTTAAAAATTATTGTTGTAGTATGTGGTATGTGGATGACTTGAACAGATCTGTTCTGACTTAACAGTGATTTTGGAGGATGCATGCCCAAATGCCATTGCTATCAACTGTTCCTCTGTTTAAAAGCTTGTGTGCTGACACATATCTCGGAGCACCTGCTGTCATAATGGTTGCTGAGAGGTGATGTTTCCATCATGTGTATAAATGCTACTTGCTACTTATGGGCAGTTCACAGCACTTTTGGATAACCTCTAGAGACAAATTCTTCTCCATCATGAGCTGGCTTTTACTCAGTTTTCTCTCAAAAAGGAAAATGCTGAAACTTCTACGTATTTAAAAATGCAGCCAATAACAAATATGCTCTTTGTTTTAAAGTGTTCTGGATTACTACATCCATAATTTAGCTCCAGAGGGCAGGAACATGAAGTATTTTGTGGCTCCACACACAGACTGTGCATTTTTGGGTTCAAGAACACTCACCTTAATAGTGCTGCCATTGTTGAAAAATCTGTTTTGATCTAGACACCACTCATGAACTCCAGGTTCCCCACACAACACTCCTTTACACCAAGCACCATCATTAGTAACAGAAGAAAGTATTTTTGTGATGTGGGGGAAAAGTTAATGAGATTAGATGATCAAAATCATGCTTTTCCAGCTCAGTCATAATATGGGTCTGAATTCCCCGTGTTTGCTCAAGGGAACTCTTGCCATTCCATTAAAGAAGATGCTGCAGAAGCCTGCTGCAGTTACCTGGCCTAATTTGTAGCACAGGAGCTTCCATTAACTTGGGTAACCAGCCTCCTTAGTGTCTCTGTACCCATCACAGTTGAAATCTATGCAGTTTGATGATACAGACCATCGTAGCTGTTCAGGTTTTGTACCAAATCTAATGCAAATAATCAGTTCCATCAGCTCTCTCTGCTCCTGAATACTTTCGTTTAGGGATTCCCTTTCTTTTGGAGACACCTTTGTGAAATTGTCTGAATAATGGTAAAATTAAAGATTGGGGGTAGGTGGGGAAGTGAAATTAAGAAAAAAAAAAAAAAGTCATGGTTTACTTCCTGTAACTATGTGTAAACTTAGCATAAACTAAGCAAGGTAAAACATTTCAGATTAAATACTGAGAAAAGAAAGAAAAGCCTAAACTTCACTTTCCTTCAAGGCAGTCCCTTTCTCTCATTACTTTGATTTGCTTCTCAGCATCATTTGCTACCTTGAACCAGTTCACAGTCTTTTCCCAGGATCTCTTGCTGAACTACAGTGACCAGGCTGCTTTGCCAGTTTGGGGAGTGCTTCTACTCCTCCTGGACACGATCCAGGACTGTCTTTCCAGTCAGTCACCCCACTTCCCATTTCTTCATTTATCTGACATTAAAGGAAGTGTTAAAGTATTTCCCACCTTATGCCCAGAATGAGGCACTGAGGCTATAAAGATTGTTGAAAATTATTCCTACTGATCTTTCAGGTGCTTGAAGACTGCTCTTGTAAACAGATTTTCACCATTCGGTATCTCTTTTTTCTAGCCAAGACTATCATTCAAAAGAATTAACATTTTCCTCAAAATCCATTTCCACTCTGCTACTGATTTTCTGCAGTTATAAATTATGAAATCAGGAGAGTGGCTTAAACTCCCTTTTCTCTGTTTACTGTTAGTTAAGTTTTGGTGGTTTAAAATATTTCCTTGTTTCTGCTAGATCGGCAGATGCCATATCTGTCATTGTATTGATTTCCCACTCTCACTAATAAAGACAGCAACACCTTGTACTTAAATGCCTTTGCTGATTTGTCCTTTGCCTAGTGCTTCAACAAGTAATTTCTCTGATGCTGTTTGTCTGATCTGCCATCTTCTGCAATATTCCCTGGAGCAGAGGCATCTCAGTTCATTTGGTTCTCCAAATAGCTGGCACTTTCTTCTCCCCCCAACCATTTCCTTTGCATAAATTGTTTTGTATGTTATCCTAGTTCTAACTTTCAAATTTTACATGGGTATTGGTAGTATTTTATCTTAAAACCACTGATCTACTGGGTTTTTTTGAAAGCCTGTATCTCTACAGAGCACAGCTGGATGAAAAGGATGCCCATCTTGGAAGCCTGCTGAGGTTCTTTTTGTATCTCCATATTATCTTCAGGTCACCAGCAGCGCTGCAGTAGTTTTACATTTCTAGTTGTACTTGAAATTTTAAAACAGTTTACTTGCTGCAAAAACGACTTTCATCTGGTTGCTTTGCTTGTGTTTGCTGCAAAGCTAGTGGAATGTTCTGCAGCTTGATGTGCATGAGTGATAAACATGGTACAGTTTATCCACAGTTCTTTTATATAGTTACCATTGAGCTCAGATGATTTAAGACAATCATCCCTCCCTTAAACAGTAGAGTGAAGCTACAAGCAATGTCTTATTCTAATGTTTCTCTTGCTGATTATATGTGATGGAATCAGCTAAGCACTGTTAGGGAAAAAACAGTTGCTGATAAAGATAGCAGATTGTTTGAAGATTGGCAAAGCAACTGTTATATATATACCTACACATTTTTAAAATGTGATGATTGCCAGTAGTATAATACATTTGAGTTGGGTGTTTTCCTGCCAACCTCATCTCCAGTATTAGACAATATTACTGAGATTTTTCATCAACACAGGTAAAAAACAATTGTCTCAGTGCTGCAATTGACCTAATACATGATCATCTTTGTGACATCACAGAGTCTCTCGTTTGAAAACAAAGGCAAAATTGTATTCCAAATATTTATTCACTTTTTGTTATATATATATGCAAAACCATCTCTATCTACAAAGTCTCATGTTATCATAGGATCTACTTATCTTCATTGTCTAGCATTTATTTACAGTGTTTAAGCTTCCAAGTGATCAAATGAAAGAGTTGTTATTTAAAGGCTAAACCAAACCCAGCTTCTACTCGGTTTTTCTTACAGAG